TCAGAATAGGTGTTCTCAAAGTGGTTGGTAATAAAGTTGGAGATTTCACTTTGATCCTCCATCTCTTTCCCCTCTTGATTTTTAAGGAGTCTGATACTTGCTTTTCTCCTCTTCCCTTTCACATAAGAGTGAAAAAATTTAGTAGAGGAATCACCACAAGAAAGCCATCTCACATTTGCTTTTTGGGCCCAATAATGTTCTTCTTTATTGCAAGCTAGGAGAAGTTTAGCATTAGCTAGATTAAGAGCCTCCCTGTTGGAAGGAGTTTCAGACTCTTCAAACTTCTCTTGTGCTTGGAGAGCCTCCATCTCTGCTTCCTTGACTTAAGAGAATATATTTCCAAAGTGGTTATGATTCCAGTCCTTGATACATTTTTTTAGGTGTTTAAGTTTAGTAGCTAGGCCCCTCATCCCTCTAGCAGTAGTAATGGAGTTCCAAGCATCTGTAACCATCCCATGAAAGCTATCATCCAGCGTCCAAGCATTGATAAATCTAAATGGTTTAGGACCCGAGAAATTGTGGCTGATACAATCCAAAAGAAGAGGTTTGTGATCTGAAGAAGTTCTTCCAAGATGATATAGGAAAGTTTCAGAATAAAGATTCAAGGTTGCTTGATTGATAAGAATTCTATCTAGTCTGCGAAGTACCCTTTCTTTAACTCTGTTTTCCATCCAGGTAAACTTGTTTCCCTTAAGGCAAGGCTCTAGGAGACTACAGTTGATGATACAATCCATAAAATCCTCCATACTTCTTGTGCAAGGTGAGACATGACCCTGATGTTCAGAGAGGGTTGCAATGGTGTTGAAGTCCCCTCCCACAATCCAAGGCTGATCCAAAGGGTTGTGATCACTAATGGAGTCTTAGAGAAGTAATCTATCATTTCTGTTCTGTTTCCCATTACTGCACTAATGTAGATAGGACCCTGAGTGAATGTATTATGGAATAAACAGGTAGTAATCTGATCACCCTCCTGAACCTATAATAGATTCAGGAAGTTACTGTCCCAGAAAATCCAGCACTTATTGTACTGAGTAGAGAATGCATGGCTGAAATTGAGCTTGAGTTTGTAGAAGTCAATTTTTTTCCTGCTACAATGGGTTCCAAAATAGCCAGAAATAGGAAATTATGTTGTTTTTTGAGATTTATAAGTTTATATATATATACACACACACACACACATAATTATATATATATATATATATATATATATATATATATATATATATATTACTTCACAAATAATATTTGACAAACTTAATTATCACATAATTAAAATGTCAACATATTTATTTCATATGTACGTCATAGGTCCCATGTTATTTTACATCATTCCATTTAAATTAAATGGAAGTTATGAGCAGAGCAGGCTGATAACAAGCAGGTGAGACGAGCAGAACAGTCACAAGGAACCTTCAAGGATTGTGGAGCCCTTTATTTTGTTTTTCTCCTTCAGATTTAAATGCTTGTACACTCATCTTTAGAATACTTTGGTTGGGTCATAATGTAGGGGTTTAGGCCTCCCCACTCTTGTACTTTTCTTTTTGTCCTTATTTAATAAATATATATATATATATAGTTGGATTGATATCCAAGGTTTATATCAATATATATATATATATATATATATATATATATATATATATATATATATATATATATATATATATCACATTATGGAAGAAACTTCTCAAACTCTTACTTACACCATAAAATCAATTGGTCTGCTTGGTAGCCATGCTCTTGGTAGGAATCCAAAGTCAATGGCTACGGTGGTAGATTTAGGAAGAGAATTGATAAGAAGAAAAATCAGACTTACTTATGGAGGAGACAATGTTTGTTGGATATATGAGTCCTAGAGGCGGATGTATGAATCAGTATCTGAATATATATATATATATATATATGAAGAATAAAAGTCCCTAAAGATCTAAACATGGATTTAGTCCATAGACTTAGCACTTTGGCAGCATAGATTAGAACTACGATGTTCTGATTATGATGTTGTTACATCAATAGAGGCTATGTCTAAAATATCCTTAGTCGAATATTATGATAATACGGACGTCATAATATACTAAGACTAATACGTATGAAACAAGATAGCTGCGTCTCATAGGCTATGGATATTGTGATATCTCAATCTATAGGTAGGTATATATCTGGGATATGGTACTAGACTGACCCACCATGAGAATATTACATGGGTATTATTTTAAATGTGTTAGTAGTATTCTCATTCGACCATTAGTATAACTATCCGTAGACTTGAGGTCATTATGATCTTTAATATGTTGACATATATGCTTTGATTCATATCTAATGCCATCTGAAATACTGTTGGATGTACATTTCTGTTCTGGGTATATATTTAAACATATGTAAAGGCATGAATGGTGTAGAAAGAATTTATCCCTTCCATTGTGATGAAGCGTAATGTCTTGAGGCCCACTGATTGATATGACTTGGGAAGTGTATGGCCATACCCAGATAAATTAATATATGTGATATTAATGTTATTTGAACCCACAATTCAATGTGAAAATCAGTAAAGCAATGATTTAACTCTAACAAGGCTACACTTCACATACCTTGTGTTAAATATAGACATTAGTGATAAAGGGATAAGACTTATACAAATGAAATGTGTCGTTGGAGGTATTCTTGCAATGAACTTTATGTTTATTATAACATATGTAGCGGTAATGTGTTGCAAGATACCGTTTATCGTTTATAGTATTAATTGTGATCAACATTATTTCCATCGTTATGAATACCTAGCAGGGTCACATACATAGAA